TTCACCCAACCAATCCTTTTGGCTTTATGATGGCAGCTTCTTTGGACTTTATACCAGCAGTAATTTGCTTAAACAAAAACTGTTTTTTAGTTTGGTCCTTAGTGAAGAACTTTCTTCAACATTTTCTATGCTTTAGAAAGCATGGGCTGTTTGTGTGAAGTCATGCAGGAGTTCAGCTGAGTGAAGTTATTAAAATATATTTGGGCAGAGGATGCAAAAGTAGCTACTGAACTTGTGAAACCAGACAGATGTCAGCCGTTCAAAGTGTTCATGGTTCCCATTTCAAGTCAAGTGATACATAACAGTAGCGAGCAAGGAAAATTAGTTTGTATCTGAAATACTTTAATTAAAAGTAATAATTATCATAGACCCAGGGTGCTCATGAACAGGATTGATTCTGCTAAATCTTACTCTCTCATCAAATTAAGTTGCTGTTCTGCTATGTTCTATTTCATATTTGATTACTGAAAGGTTATCAAGTTAAATAGGACTTCTACCAAAACCAGGTCTGTATTTTGAATTTAAACAATACTACTTTTAAAGAGGATGGTGTTAGGGAAATTTTCTAATGCAAGATTTTACAATAAAAATCCCAACCTATGACCCTGTATAGCAGAAGCTAAATACTCAGGGTAGTAGTTGGAGGACTCTCTTAAATGAGACACACAGGAGCTGAAACCGCGGCCTTGTGTGGGCAGTGCTCAGCGGAAGGGCTGTGGGCAGTTTCTGCCTTCGTTGTGTTTTCTCCTGCAGGCTTTGCTTGTGATCGCAGGTTCCTGTGCAGAAACCTGGGGTGCTCCTTACCCCGAGTGTCTCCGGGGCCCCCGAGGACCCTGCGGGCTGCTCCTTGCAGGGCCGGGTGCCGGTGTGACGAGCTGCTTGTGTGCAAGGGCTTTGCAGGGCTGCTGCGCTTTGTCTGCCAGTTAAACAGCTCCGCAGCCGGCTGGCTTGTCTCACTTCATTTAAGATCAGGCAGCTTCTTTTGCTATAAATGTATAAGTCTAGCCTAAACTGTAATTCTGCTTTAACTTGCAGATAGTTCATGTATTTCAGACTGCACTTCAGAGTGATCTTGGGATTTAGGCAAGTGAACGGACACCATCAACCTGCCTTTCCTAAGAACCCTTGGAAGTGAAGTATGACACTGTACTAAGGCTGTGAGAGTGACAGGGGTTGCTATCACAGTAGTTGCCTACAGGAAAGGGTTGTGGTTGGATTGTCACAGCTTACTGAAAACAGACATAAAGTAATGGTCGATTTAAAGCACTGCCTCTTCATTAATGCTCGGTAAGACAAGGAAAGCAGCACAGAGCAAATCTGAGTCTTTTCCCCTTGAACTTGAAAAGAATTGGAGCGATGGTCCTGAAGCAGAAGTGTCACTTCTCTTTTTCTGCGGGTTTTCTAGCTTCGGTGGGCGTGAGAGAAGGTTGCACAAGAGAGTGGATATTGTGGGCAAGCCGAAGTCCTGACCCAAGCAGACATTTTAACATCTCTTTGAATTTGTCTTGGTACTTGGCATTGACATACTTAAGTCTTCAACAAAATTTAGGCATGTGCTGAAGTTGATTGCATCATGTGAGAAGCTGCTTAAGATTTGATTCCCCTTTTCTTCCTGGGTGAGCAGAGAAGCAGCAGCACCAGGCAGGGCCGAGCACGTGGCTTCCCACGGACCGTCCCGCTACAGGAGCGAGCTGGAGCTGGCGGCAGATGCAGCAGGAGCCGCAGCTTCCCCAGGGGAGCTGTGGGGGCAGCGGAGCGGCCACAGCGAGCGCGTGGGCGCGAGGGCAGGGCCTGGGCGCCTGGCCGGGCAGCGGGGGGGCAGCTCCCGCCACGGAGCGCGCGTCACGCGAGAGCCGCCGGGGCTGGGCCTGTCCGTGCCGTATCTGGTCCTGGGTTGTTTCTGCATATCCCCGTCTGCTCTCATGGGAGAATCACCATCGTGTTCTCAGTATGGTTTCTGACAGCCAGATTTTGAGTGAGCTAGACAGATGTCCTGGGGACAGGCTGCCATAGTGGAGCATGCAGTACATCTCCGTTTGGGTGGAAAGACAGACGTGACCTGGAGTAGTCACAGAATCTGACTTTCAAAGTTCAAGAAATAGCTCGATCTGCTTTTAGAGTATTTTGCTTGAAATTAAAAAATGAGTGTTCGGATACTGCAATAGAACCAACCTCGTAAGCAAAACAGCTCATCAGATAGGGAGAAAGAACATAGCACAGGAGTCGTTCTCTTTTTTTTTAAATACCCATTAAAAAGAACACAGTTACTAAAAACAAAATACACACAAAACTTTCATAATTACTAGGGATTCCAAATAGACTTGAATTCATTTGATTTTTATAGACTAGTAGTCTTTAACCTCGGCTGCAGAATCTGAAGTGTACCTGTTACCTACTGGTAAATTAGTTATCAATCCCTTGGGCAGTATTTTTTAATATCAGTATTATATGGTGGATGATATAAATCTTGTGTGCGGTATTATTAGCTTAGGCAGCTGCTGACTTAAAAAGGCCAGTTTAACAAGTCACCACTGTATTATGTTTAATTAGGTACAGTTTATATAATGAGGTGTTCAGTTCTAATGGAAAGACATGCTGTGAGCAGCACATCTGCAGGAATAACTATTACAATCAGCATTGCAGAGACCCATGGAACTGCAAATTAGACTTACTTATCTAGAAATAAATTACATCCCAATGCCTTCATAAAGCTCATTAATTAATTCCACTGGCATAAAGGTCTTTTTCTTAATTTCATGTTCCATTAGCATAATAAACACAATTTGAGTTACAACAGTATGATCAGTTTAATGGATGCTATTTATTTTAGTTTTTTATTTAAAGTCCCGGTAACATAGAATTAACATCAATATGCTGTTTGGTCCTTTATTAAAAATTCCCATAGGATAACCAGCACAGATGTTCAATACAGCATCATATATTTGCTGCATTTTATGACTTCACTAATTGGCCATATGGAAAGGTGTTGCTTGAGTTTAATTTCTCTTTTTTTTAAATCTGATAAATTATATGGATGTAATAGTCACAATTGGTTAGTATGTAAAGTTGGACAGGTTAATATACACAGCATGCTGGAAGCAAAACAAGAGTAAGCAAAGTTTTTATGTGCATTGATTAATAGTAAATAGGACTAATGTACTTCACAATATATTAAAATGAGTTTCCCTAATGTGTAGCTCCTGACATAATTATAATTCTTTAATTTATGCAGACACTGTATAATCAGAAGGAAGTGTTATCAGCTTTCTGTTTAGTCACAGTTAGGTTATAGACAATGTTACAGTTGTTCCATTCAGCTTTTTATGAGCCTCACATTTCACAATCAACTACATTGTTAGGAACGTTTAAGATGAGATGTTGGATGCTGGTAAAACAAGAGACTTCATTGTCCAGGCAGCTAGTGCTGGTTCCTTTGAATCTGGTATCTGTATTGAGGTGCTGTGTTGGTTTCTACTAGTCCTGGAAATTGTCCTAAGAAATTTTGTTCCTAGCTTATTTTGTCTAAGATTTGTTTTAGCTAAAACCTGCCAGTTAATGTAACCAAGCAAATTCTGTCATCAGCTTGTTGTGTACACTGATCTAAGGCCTGTTTTTCTATTTCTTTGTCTTTTTACTCCTCTGTGCGTTTAGTAGCAATGTCCATCGCTGCAGACTTCTTCAGCCTATAATGTGGCCACCTTCTCATGTTACAGAGTGATTTTTGGATAATGCTTTTGTGCCATATAAATCCATCATCTGCTTCTTCACATAAAAACTGATTTCTGTCATTACATTGTAATTCACCTATTTCTCCTCCACTCACCACAATCATGTGAACATGAGTCATCTATCTCGGCTATTGTGATCTTCTATTACATTTCCTCAATTATGGTACTGGGGAGAGCTGCAGCAGAGCTGATGAGAGCAAGTAGCTTTAATTCCAATGTGTATGTCTGTATGGCCATACACATACATAAATATATACTCCTCAAAGGTGACGTGAAAGCATTTTGATTTGAAAAATGCTCTGTAGCTCCTTAGAGTTTTCAAGCCTACTCCCTGCCGTGGGCACCCACGCTTGCTTGTCTGGAAATCTTTACAGCATTTGGGGTATAACTAATCTTAAAAATGAGGCATCTTTTTGCTTGGAATTTAGCTCTGTCTTAAATGGAAACTGTCTTGTTATGTACAGCAAACAGCAAGCCAAAGAGGAGTTCCTTAGCACAGTCACTCCAGTTAAACATAGAGGCCGTTGGAGTTCCCTTTGGTGCAATCTCTTGTCAGTGCCTCGGAGCTCGGTGCCCGTTTGCCGGAGCGAGGAAGTTGTACCATCAAACAGACATCTCTCTCTGTTCTTGTTGTGAATTCTGTGTGCAGGGCAGGTGCTTGAATGGAAGTTTTTAAATGAACGCTACAAGTCTGCAGGACCTGGCAAAGTGACAAAGAATCAACATTTTCAGATGTTTCGGTGTTATGGGTCCTACAATGCATGCATTAGAGAGAATGATTTTGCACTGAAGGACAAAGCTGACGTTATTACACAGCTGCATTGTCTGTGCGTGCCTGTTACCGTGCGCTGCACAGCCGCACCACCCTGGAGACAAAAGAGGTGACAACAGGGGATTGATTCTATCCGACAATTAAGAAACAGGGGTGTCTTGAGCTTGTGCAGTCTCAGATCCTTCTGTATAGCCATACTGTGTATCATGGGGAGATGATTTTTGCTGCTGAGCAAAGCTGGCCTTATGTGAATGTACTGTCACCCTTAGAGAAGGGCTTCAGAAGAGGGTTGACGAGAAGTAATATGCAGTACAATGTAGTGAAGAAGTGGAGAGTCATTCAAGTTCAAGCACAACAGATTTCATAGTACAGGACTTAGAGTCTTAGAGACTTAAGTTACCTTGTCTGGTATGGCTGGATAATTCTGGTCATAAAAATCATTTTTTGTCCCAGTTTTGTATTTTTTATGATCAAAGCTTGCTTTGCTCATTGTCTTGCAGGGCTCAGCTGAAGTGATGTCTCAAATTTTTTTAGACACTTGGGAACAGAAGAGAAGGAGATAGAAGACAGGAGCATAGCTGCCTCATTACTCTTGGTCAAGGCTGAGGTAAGAAAACAAAGGAGGAGCTCTGGAAATACCAGGTAATACAGACCTTTGTGTCAAAAAATGATGTGAAATGCAGTTTCAGATAGATTAATGTACCCCTGTCAGGCTTCGTTTTTTAGGCTATTTGCCTATACTTGTGGCTTAAGGTAAACGTCACATCAGTGAGGGGACACAGAAAAGCATGGCTACAAGTCTAATTTCATAGATGTGCCCAGTAATAAGGGATAAGAAATTTCTTATTTAGAACAGTATATGGAATAAAAGTGGAACTGAAATGCTTTGTATTACAGTCTTACTGAAAGCATGACCAGATGTCCAGCTGGTAGAATTGAGTAAAATATAGTAGAGTTGAACATATTTCTAAAAGCCATCCAATGCAATTATTTTTATAAGATGTTACAGATGTTTTATTTGTACCTCATATGATAAATATTTAAACAGAAGAAATGCTTTTGAAAAGTTTAAAGGACTACATATGTCAGTTTTTCTAACAGAATCTATTTTCCCATGTTGTTTGTAACTTTGAACCTGAAGGTCCACATAGAAATGAATATATTAATTTCCGCTTATGTGTTCTATAAAGCACCGTATACTACATGATCTTAAAGAAGTAGCATTTAGTACCACACGGAGGCCTTGGACTCCAGCCAACCTATTGTGGCTTTCTGCTTGTTGATTTGTTTTTCACAGTTCCTTCTTGGGTTGGGGGGAGGAGATCGTAGAACAGAGAGAAACAAAACAGGAACACCAATATGTTGAATCTACACTGTGTGACCTTATATTTAAGCAGCCTGTTTTAATTAGTAATGGATACTGTTGCACTCAGATAAACATTAGTCACAATTGAAAGCAGCACCTTATAAGCAAAGGATTTGCAGAAATTTAATCTGTATAGCTCAGCTCAACTTCTTAAAGAAGTTGCTTTGTTCTTGTCATAATGCTTGAAGTTAATGGACAACTTAGCTAGAATTGCTGTGTGTCATACAGTGAGTGAAGAGGACTGACAAAAAGCCATTAGCGTCCAGAAAGGAAAGACAAAGGCAGAAATTATATCGCTTCCAGATGAATCCTAACTATTCCCCAAACTCTGTATTAGTATGACAGGCAAGAGGCAGGGCCATTAATCGAAAGGTCAGATAGTGCAATTTTAGCCAGATGTTCTTGATTGAAAAGGCGTGGAAAAATTATCTAGAATGCTAGTGTTACAGAATCTACAAAATACTTTTTAAAAACTATTTTAATGGCTCGATGGTCTAAGTGACAATTTTACCTGTCATACTAAAAGGGAAAGTTAGCTTTCAACACTGCTTATGGTGGAAGTATTAGAAAAGTTGGGTTATGCTGCATTCTGAAGCTATTTGAAAAAGCTTTTAAATCTCTCTCTTTTTTTTTTTTAAAGTTCTTTAATGCAGTTAAAGTGTAAACCTGAAAACCCTTTACCAGTAGTCATGTTCTCAAATTGATTTAATGTCTGTCTTGATAACTTTCTTATTCCTGAGGATATATCTTGCTAATAGATAAAATTCTTTAATACTTTAAAAAATAGTAATTTAATAATTAGGTTTGAGGTTCTAACTGTAGATTTTTGAATTGGTTTCATGAATCATATATACCTTTCATATTGATAGATTTAATGGTCCACTATCAGCATCAAATATTGAGTGCAAAAGAGGTGCTTGAAGAAATGCAACATGCAAAACTCCAGTGTTGATTATCTGTATGTTTCTGAGAAAAACTTGTCTTACATCCTTCTCTTCAAATTTGCTGTTAAATATGATTCCAGATTTTTTTGCTGAAGACCATACATAACTTCTTTTTTTTTACCATTTGGTTCCTCCCTCTCCCAGTCACTAAGCACCACGGGTATTTGCAGGCAATGGTTGTGAAGCCAGTTAGGTAAGAGCCTAACTACTTAAAAATTTACCAGTCTGGAATTTCTGAGTTAAGGTAGTGTCAAAATTTGGGGTGGAGAAAGAGAGGTGAAAAATACTCTTTTCATTAAGCAATAAAAGTTGTCCATCCAAAAACAATAATATGTTTATGGCCTTACAGTTAACACTGGACTCCATTTGCTCTCAGACCTTGTGTCAGCTTTGTTCTCCTGCCACTGCTTTTTCTTCTCTGCTTTGATTCTCAGTGTTGCACATGAACAGTTATGGAAAGATGATTCTCTTGGTATTAACACATTGTTAGTTGGGCTGATTTATCTGCTACTTGAAGCTTAAATGCATATCCACAAGCTGTGGTAACTCCACTGTTTCCCCTGAATGAAGCAAATGCCAGTGCTACATAGCAAGAATCATGAGCTAGAGACACTGCAGCTCAAATCCCTCTGTCCACGGGCTCATGGTCACTCTTGAGCACAACTTCAGGGGAGAAAGTGCACGGGCTGCAAAAGTGAGAGGTGTCGTTAGTGCTGGCTGCAAAATAATTACTCACAAGTTGTACCAGCAAGTTGTGTTCCTCTGTAGAGGAAGAGTTTCTACTATTCTAGGCTAAAATTTCTATTTTCCATCTTTCGTGTACTTTTGCCTATATCTAGGAAGAACAATTCTGAGATTATGGAACAAATGTGCAGTCAACTATTAGTATTTTGACTTAACACAAGGAAAACTATGATATTTTAAGGATTGGTTTAAATACGTTGGATTTAATGATCTCATAATGACTTTTAGGCTTGAAAATCTGTTATACTATACTTTTTAATGATCATTAGCTTTCTGAGACTTCTTTTCCATTTGATTGTATTGGAATGTAAAAATTATTTGTTAGTAACAAGTCATTATTCTGGAGGATAGAGAAGATACTCTGAGGACCAAAATACACAAAAAGCTGGTGATAAAAGGCTGATGTCACCTTTACTACTGTACTCCTAAATTTTCTTACATACTAGATTTAATGAAATGAACTGCATTTGTAGTATGTGCAAACAACTCCCTCTTTGTACTACTCCTAACTAATCTCTTTGTACTTTGCATGATGACTTCTCTACTCTTGGTGCAACTTGTTCAGGAAATATCAGTGTCCGTTACTGCCTTTATGCTTAGATATTACATAACTGTGAAAGGAAAAAACAGTAGCAATCTTCCTGAATATTTACTAACTTAAAGATTGTTGTCAGTGTAGTGCTCTGAGAAGGAAATCAGTGACTGTGTATTATGGAACCTGCAGCTGCAAGGGTTGTATTCTCTTCCTCTCTGTTAGGCCACTTTCCATCCATGCTCTGAAATGAAAAATTCCTAGTGCCCAGTGTGTCAGAAATGGCACCATTTTTTCAGTTATGTTTTATTCTTTTCCTTTTGCAATTTCTCATCTTAAATTTTTGACTTGTCCGGAGGCTTTTATCAATCAAATGTGACATTGTAATCAGTGAATGTCAGATGGCAACCAAGAGCTTGTGGCACCTTACAGGATTGGGTCCATAATGCAAGTTGATGTTTGAAGTAGATGGAGAATAGTTTTAAAGATGTCTAGATTTCAGTAAGAAGTCATCAACTCATGACAAAGCATGGCCACATAGCAGTTTTAAGAATATATTCTGATATCATGGGAGGACTGGGACATGGGAGGCTAATTATCTACTGTATTTCTTACTTGAGATAATGCTTTGCTTTACTCCCTCGTAGTCTGGAAAGCACTGCAGGTGGCATGTGTGTAGTGAATATAGAAGGAGAGCCTGCAAGTTTTGGTGTATATCGCACTTTGACTCTCCTGTGACAGCTTAACTTGTTACTACTTGATTATAATTAGGTACTTGATTTTCATCAACAGTAATTTCTGAGTGAAGTACCTCATGTGTTGTTTAAAGTAGCTTTTGTTTAGTATGGTTTCACTCTAGCTGAGAACATCTACTTCTCTGCCTCATTTTACTCTTCTGTAATACATTGTGTAATCTACCTACCAACTAGGTGTCTAGTGTCCAAAAACACCTGGGTAGCACTTTAAGCTCCAATTACTTCTTAGCAGTAAACTTCTATGAGTATATATGCTAAAAGATACTGACCTCTGAACATCTAACACTGAAATTGATGTTTTACACCTTAACAAAACAAAACTCTAAGATCATCTTGGTTCATCTATTATTGTCACCTACCCTTTTTAAATCTTATTGTACAATTCTGATTTCAAAATCCTGCAGTTGTCTTAGATTCTGCTCTCTATAGAGCTGCCCAATATTAATCAAAGATTATCATCTGTTTAGGGATGGGCTGTTGATTCTCTTCCTTTTGCTGGCTTCAACGGGATATAGCCAATGTAACCAAAATGTATTTATGTGCTTGCCCCAATGTCTGGAAGAATGCAGAATCCTCCAACCAATGCGGAAGGTTTTGTGACCTAGGCTCTCTTGGAGAAACTTGGAAGCTGCTTCCATTTACCTCCATTCTGGTGCAGAATGCTCTCGTCTGGGCGGTTGAGTCTGGCAGCACCCAAGCATGTGCACGTGCTCAGGGGACTAACGTTCACTGAACTGTTCTCTGTGTGAAGCAAAGGTAACTGTTAGAAACTGTGAACTGCATAGTTTTATTGGAGATTGAAAACTTGGGCAATCTGTGTATATAAAATGTATGGATCCTGGTTGCTCTTGTGTGCTGTGCTGGAGACTGCTTGTGTCCCTCATTCCAGTAAAGACAGCAGCTGGCAAAGATGGCTGCGGATTGTAAATTACCGAAACTTTTAAAAAAAAGCTCAAAAGGAGCGAAAGATATGAGGAAGGAAATTGATTGTGCTGCTCCTCAAGGACAAACAACTGATCTGGAGGGGAAAAAGGGAAATACACATTCCAAAAAATTGCCGAACTGGTGGAGAAAAATTGTTAGGTACAGAGAAAGTACTTGTCTGAATGAGACCTGAGCCCAGCAAGAGGCTCGGGAAAGGGAAACACATGTAGATTTCTGATGTGTCTGTGTGGTGAGGGTACATGCATGCACTTCTCTCTGTGTGTGTATGTGTACTTGTACATGGGAGAGCCTTGTGCTGCCTGGAAGAAGA